AAGATAGGACTTTGTGATTGGTTCTGTATCCAACACTCAAGAGCTAGGGGTCCTGCATTTTCCTCTTGTCCTATGGGTTTTTATCACCTCTGATGCATTCTGCCCAATTGTGTGTCCAGTTTTCCCAGCCCTACTGTACCTGCCATGTGTGAGACTTCTCTAGCATTGGTATCCATAAGTAGAACTATTGGGTGTACATATCTTAAACTTTACTTAGAATTGTCAACTTGTTCTTCAAGATGATTGTATTGTTTTTATTAGTAGTGGTTCATCCTACAGGTCCATCCTTTCCAACATACTATTATAATTACTAAGAACATTTTCTAATTTTTTATTAAAAATTTGTATTCCTTGTTTTGCGTGGTGTTTCATTATTAGTTTTAAAAGCCAGTTACACTGGATATAACCTACAGTTGTTTTCATTTTGTGTATCATGAGCAGTCAATAGTATTTTAAAGGTGAAATTAAAACCTATTTTTTTAAAATTAGTTCTGTTTAGGTAAAAAAATACCTGATGGCCCTTGATTCTGCAAACTTGTTTGCTGATAGAAAGCCTAGTGATCACACTACTTTTTTTGTTGAACACCAAGAAATAATAACAGGTTTTCTGTCATAGCAATAAGAAATGTTGTTACTAGCAGAAAATATGCCTGTGTAATGACATATAAAACCATGTTAAACCTTAGTGTACATGCCAAACAGGAAACTGAGAATGACATGATTTGTAACCCTTAAAATTAGTAATTTGTGGCTTATCCATTTATTTCCTAATAGTTATGTTTGTTTGGTCATATGCTGGCTCCCATTAGCAGAAAAGTATCTAGAGGCAGCAAAGGTTGTGTGGGACAGAAATTTGGAAAAGAAACCTAAATTTGGGTAAATTTTGCTTATTAAGAGGTGTGGAGAGGTAAGGAGAGAGAGGGAGAGAGTGAGGGTAAAGAGAAAAAGAGAGGGGAAGAAAGAGGGAGGGAGAGGGAGCATTCTGTTAATTGTTTTATTGGTAGAAAATCTGGCTCCGTTTGCTAATAAGCAGCATAGTCCATTGGGAACCTCTTTTCTGAGCTGTTGATTTAGAACACTACCACTTCCGGCAATAGGAAGGATCTCTTAGCACCTGCATTATTAAATACAAGTATTTAAGAGCACAAATGAACGAGTTCGTTTTCTTCTTGGGTAACAGATGAATAGCTGGACTCTACCATTTGATTTTATTGCAACCCAAATCTGTTTTCTTCTCCAGTCTATGTGTTAAATAAGGCAGAATGGAGTACCATACATTTTTATTAACATCAACTCCTATTGGTTTTATTAACATTAAGATGAAGCTGGAATCTTTGTCATAGTGTACTTTTCTACTAAAGCTGGAAATTCCATTCTTGTTTACTGTTCATTTTTTAATTTTTTTTTCTTCTTTTTGAGATGAGGTCTTACTGTGAAGTTCTGGCTGTCGTTGAACTCACTTTGTAGCCCAGGCTCGCCTCGAATTCTTAGCAATCTTCTTGACTCAGCCTCCTTAGTGCTGGGATTCCAGGTGTGCATCAGTATACCTGACTAGATTTACCATTTAATTTATGAAATTTGAACATTTTTGAAAATGGAAGTGATGGGGAAAATGATGAATTGAGTGGGTCCTTGGAACAACAGGAAGTTGTCCTGAGAAAAATTGGTGTATGGTTACCTGAGTTATGCCACAGCTTTGCCAGATCATTTGAACACTGCAGAAAAGCATTTGTTGGCAAAGGGAGAAAAAAAAAAAAAAAAAAAAAAAAAAGCGAGTGCCATGGATAGTTGTAATGATAACATGTTTTTAAAAATTGAGGTAATATTTATCTCATTGAAATTACTATTTTCAAGTTTGCCATTTGGTATAGAACATGAGTGTAGTTATAATACGGTAGCATCCAAAATATAGCAGCCTTTAGGTAGCTTTGTAAAAAACATCTTTAAAATGATCTTTTTCAGCTCTTTTCTTGTTGTAGTGTTCTCATTAAAACTGAAAAGAAACAAGTTGACAGATTTTACAAACTAAGCCATCTCTCACCAACAAGAGCCCCGCTCACCGGGCTGTGATGCAGTACACTACTTGCTGAGCAGAATGGATCTGCACTTTCTCACCTTGTACTTTCAGAAAGCATTCAGTGAGGTGTCTGGCTTCACACAACTAGAAGCTTCTAGTTACTACATTAATATTTTATCACCTTAAGATAGAACAAATGGCTATACTATAGGAGACATGCCAATTAGAAGAAGCAGTATACACCAGAAGGCTAGACTTCCAGTTAGAATCTATCCTAATACTTATGGTGTTCTTGTCATTAAAAACACTCAGTGTATAGCTACAGAAGCCAGCTACTCGTATTTTTAAGGCAGCCCTCCTGTCAGCCATTTTCCTTTACATAAAAATTTATAGCTTATTCAGTGTGCCACTTTTCTTAGCTGCTTAGTCTCTATATTAAAGACAAATTTTCATTTTTATTTGTGGCACTTTACTGCCCACAGTTTTCCCCTGGAGGTCTATAGTAGAAAGAAGCAGAGTGATTGCTTTTGAGATGATGTGTAGGTAGGGCACAAAGCCTGGTTCATCACCGTGTGTGTGTTCGTCCCTCTTCACCCCATCCCTGCTTTTCTGTTTAGGTAAGTGCTACACAATATGAAATAGAACCACTGGACAGCACAATTAAGGGGAATTATACCTGAATGGCATTGTCGGATTTGATAAACATAATTTGATTTGAACCCTTGGGTGGTATATTTAAAAAGCAGCTATAATAGGACAATTGAAATTTTGTTGCTTGCAAAAATGTCAAAATTAGAATATGACATTTAAAATAAATTGAAAGCTACATGCAGTGTGGGTAGAGCCTGTTGACTGAGTTACTGGGTTTTACTGCAGGTGCACAGCAGAGGCACTCTGTGTGTTATTAACTTGTAAAGACAAACCATGTTAGGTAGGACAGTAGAGTAGTAGGGTGTGTTTTACACACGCCAAACTTTATTTCAGAGATCATATGTAGCAGTGCCTGTCCTTATTCCTTTCATTGTAGTTGAGTAAACTTTTGTCAGGTTTTCACATGAATTAGTGAATGTAGAAAGTAGATTTATGTACTCTATTTGATAGAATAAGGAGTGTTGAGAGACTGGGGGAGAGCTGTTGCCATAGAAGTTTTTTATTTTGTAAAATTAATTTTATCTACATTTGTAGCTTTAATAGACGTGAAGTGGCTTTCTCTTTTTAACACCTTCACTACTACTTAGTTGTTTATACTGCCAAGTAAGTATGTATCCTTTTTCTTTATCTACCTTGCCCAGCTGACATTTTTGCTCTCAAAACTATAATGAATTAAAGATGACCAGGTATGAAGTCTCCTGGATGGATAGCTTTTCCTGGGAAAGCATGGGAGGTCTTCACAGTACAGATATAAAATATTGCCAGTACAGACAGTGGTCATTGAGAGCCTACTTTGAAAAATGTGACCAGTGAATGGAAAGTGCATACAGTATGCATTTATGGTTATTTAAACTTAGAAGTCAGTTGCTATTGTTTGATTTTTTTCAAATCTTGGTGGTATGATGTCTGTGGGGAAAGTTGTCTTAGTAACTTGAGAAGTAACTTAGATGTATTTGTGGTTGTCCTGTTAAAAGTTATGATTCATCTGCTGACAAAAATTTTTTCTAGTGTGATCACCTACCTAAAAGTAAAATTTACCACCCATTTTGCTTTTTTTTTTTTTTCTTGGAAAGCAAGTTAGTGACTGCTTATTTTATCACCTTATCATTTCTGTCTTGAGTTCATGAAATAAACAATAAAAGGGAAGAAGGGGACCAGGGAGATGGCTTGCCTGATCGCTTAGAATAAGCGCTTCCCTGGCAAGCACAAGGACCTGAGTTCAATCCCCGGTTCCGCAAAAAAAAAAAAAAAAAAGGAAGACAAGTATTTATTAAATGTCTTCTCTATTAGTTGTTACACTAGATGCTGTCTGTGTTTGCTTACTATATTAAAAATTCAAAATTTTTACATGTAGACAAAAGTTCACTGAGGGATTGTTTTTAATATTGAATTTCTCAAAATAATAATAAAGTAATGAAAATTCAATAATATTACAAACTAGTATATTTTCAAAATGAGATTCTAATTTAAAAGTAACTATTTCAATAAAGTCTCTTTTTGAAATAAAGATCAATTATACTACCTCCTTTTTCATTTTAAAGAGAATAGAAAAATAATAGATGAGACATTAGAAATGATATATACTTCCTCTTGATGAACCACTTTTTGTGGTATTGATGCCTGTGGTTATCAATTCCTAAAAGATGATCATTTTTATATTCTTAGCAGGTGTTTTCAGTACATAATGATTTTATATTCATTGTGAATAAAAATGCATCTTAATTTTACTTTCTGTTTAATTTCCTCCGCATCCTCCAATCTCCTGTTTAATTCCATTTCATTTAATTCCTGTCCCCTCTCTCCTACCTTCTTGGACCACTTGGTCCATAACAAGTCTACAGCCATAGTGCTTGGGTTTGACTTCTGAATTTACCTTTCCTGCTCTTTGTTTTGTTGGCAAGTTCCAGGATTGTTTCTTTCTTAAATTTTTGTTATATTGGGAAAATTTATAGCATTCCACATTTTTAGAATGTTTATACATTGTCATTCTACTATATTCTTTTATTTCCAATTATTGTAGCTATAGGTATAGTAGAGATGAAAGCTAGACAGACAGACAGACAGATAGCATATATATCCCCTCTGCAATCAGTAAATGCTGAGTTTCTGGCTGTCTCGTGGTCTTTTGCTCCTCATGAGTAACTGATATTCTCCATCCGCATTGTAGTACCACCCCCCCGAAGTTACCTTACTGTGTGATGAATGTTCTGTCTCACAAACTCATAACAACTTTTTCCTGAAATGATCTTTTAAATTTAACTTAAATTAAAAAATAATTTTAATTTACATTATTACATTATTATTACATTATTTTTTTCCTTTGCTCTCTTAGCTTCACAATGAGGAGGACAATTCAGAATCACCTGCCGTAGAGCAGCCATCCACTTCAAACGCGACACCACAGGTTGTGCAGTCTGCTTCTTCAGCACCAGCACTTGAGACTGACACTTCTCCACCACCTTACAGTAGTATTACTGTGGAAGTACCTACAACTTCAGGTATGGAGCAGCTAGGAATGTCTTTTCTAGTTCCTTTAGTGGTAGGATGGTTTTATGCAATAGCAAGTCTTTTAATGGGTTTTTAAGCATAAATGCATAGATAGTACATATTCACATACTTTCTTTTTTACATATATGTATATTTAGTACAGGGTCTGCAGGGTCTCACTACATGGATCACACTCGTAGCTATTCTCCTACTTGCAGCCTCCCAAGTGCTGGGATTACAGGCTGAGCCACCATACCCAGTCTCAATCGCTGTCTTGGCACAGCCCGGGGGCCGGCCAGCACAACACGCTGGAGGTCATATTCATACATTTTTACACATGCACATACACATGTCTGTATATGTATGCACATGCTTACATCTTTATAAAACAGTATTAATGATGTTGAGTGGGTGGAAACATACATAATATTACCTGCAATTGTACACACAGTAGTAATTGTGAATACAAGGCAGTGATTCCTGTTTAATGCTGTTATTCTCTTTATTTAGGTCATACTAGAGAATTAATCTTAATTATTTCTCTGGCTACAATTTGCATTTTCTCAGCATTGGCAAATTAGTCATTATGATGTATATGCTATATGATTTTGTATACTATTTGATTTGTAGGGCTAGGGAGTTGGCTCAGTGGAATAAGCGCTTCCCTGGCAAGTGCAAAGGCCTGAGTTCAATCCCTTGTTCCGCAAAAAAAAAAAAAAAGAAAAGAAAAAGAAAAAAGAAATTGATTTGTATGATTAACTTCCAAGTCTAATGTCACTTTTATATATTTATTGTGGAACACTAATTAAAAAATCAATTATTGGAAAATATTTTAACAGAAAAGATTCTTCATTAGAATATTTCATCCTTTTTTTGGTGGGGGGTTGGTACCAGGGATTAAACTCAGGACCTTGTGCTTGCCATACAACCTCTTATTCCACTGAGCTATCTCCCTGGCCTCAGAATATTTCATCTTAATAGTGGTTTGGGATTATTAGTATCATCCTTTTGAGATTTTTCATTATCTCTGAAGGGGTGGGGCATCCTCTCCCACCCATTATGACCACTTTGACCAAAGATGCTCCAGGGCAAGATCCTTCTTTGCATAGATAGGACCACCTCTGTCTTCAGAGTCATCTGCTGATCCCCTGCTCAATCAATAAATGCTGAAGGTCTGGCTGCCTCATGGCCTTTTGTTTCTCATGATCAACTGGTCATCTCAGATCCCCACTGTACTGCCAAAAAAATCCCAAACAAAAAACAAAAAAATAAAAAAACCAAAGCAAAATTTCATCTTATTGTGTAATTGTCATTTCTCTCAAATTCCTGTCAGCTTTTTCAGGTTACCATTTTGCATTTGCAGGGCGTACATTCTTTGTTGCTTTCATCAAGTTTGTTTACATTTTTTATTATTCACTTCTGAAAATCAATGTTATAAAGTTCCAATTAAGTTAATTAATTAATATTCCATTTATTTTTAGGTAATATTTTATTCATGTGCCTGGTCAGTATAGTATTTCATACTTTTTTTTTGCTGGCTGAGGAGGGAGCCAGGCTCCTGTGCAAGCCAGCTAAGTACTCTACCACCATGCCACACCTGCAGTCCCTCATGCACAATGTTTGTCTTAATTCTGTCAGTCATTTCTTTGACTTTAAGGTTTAGTAGTTGGTTTCTTGCTTGTTAATATTTACTGTGCACTAATTTTTTTCATTATTTCCAAATTTCCAGAATAGAGCGTAATTTTGAAAAAAATAATCAGTTTGGAAATGGAGTTCAGGGCTGGGGAGATAGCTCAGTAGAATAAGTGCTTGCCTGGCTAGTGCAAGGGCCTGAGTTCAATCCCCGGTTCTGCAAAAAAAAAAAAAAAAAAAAAAGAAAGAAAGAAATGGAGTTCAGTGGCAAGCCCAGTTTCAATTCCCCACAGCTCCAAAATAAAAATGAATTTGATAGTAATCTTGAAGAAAGAAAATGATTGTTTTCGATGGTGTTTGTGACTGAGAATTAGAAGATACCCGTTTTAAGAGTAAATTTGTGGTACTTTTTTGGGAGATATCCTTGCTATTTTTGTGTAATGAATGACTCCAAATTTCATGGAATAAAAATGCCAGTCACTCCTTCTCAGGTTTTCGGAGTGACTGGGCTTTGTGGTGTTATTGTCCCCCAGAGCCCCACGCACTTTTCACCTGATGGTACCCTCATCTGAGAGACTCCCTTTTTCCCCTGGCGGTGGCTGATTGTCACGGCAGTTGCTCTTCCGCTGGGGCTTTGTCCAGAACACCTATCTGTGGCCTCTTCAGGCCGCAGCTTCCTCAGGGAATGACGACTGGATTCCAAGAGAAGCATTCTGACAGGAAGCCCCCTGGACCTGACAGAAAGCCACCTCGAAGCCATCCAGCCCGCAGTAACTTATATAGTGTCACTTCTACCATATTTGGTTTGTTGCAAATGAATTAATGAAGTCAAAAGAAGAGAAGTTAGTCTCTACTCTTTTTTTGTTTTGTTTTGTTTTGTTTTGTATAGTAACAGAATGATGGAAAAATATGGTGACCGTTTAATTTTTTTTTTTTTAATTGTATTTGTCTTTCATGAGTATCTTTAACTGTGCTGTTTTGGCTGCCTCAGTGTTCTAAACTGAAATCAGAGTGTTTTCTCTTCCCGTTTTGACTTGGGGGAAGAGCCAGAAGGTGCATGGTGCCAGGTGCAAGGAGGAGGTGCGTGGAGACGCCTGGCGCTGCTTGTGTGGGCCTTTCTCACTGTTGCACAGCAGGCAGCAGCAGCCTTCACCTTCACTTGGATGGCACCTCATAAAGACATTGATTCGTTAAAGAGGACTTCCAGAACTGCTTCAGAAAGTGGCAGGAATGGTGGGATAAGAGCACTTGGAGGGACGTTAATGACAGTACATGTCTTCCACTGTAATAAATTGCTTTTAAAAATTCAAACGTTTGTTCCACATTTTTACCACAATTTATAATATAGGGCTACCATAGTGATAGTAATCTTAAGTGACCTATTATAAATTATTAAATTAGAGATGTTTTAATGATTATCTTTTTAAAATCTTTCTCTTTAGATACAGAAGTGTATAGTGAGTTTTACCCTGTGCCACCTCCCTACAGTGTTGCTACCTCTCTTCCTACATATGATGAGGCTGAGAAGGCTAAAGCTGCTGCGATGGCTGCTGCAGCAGCAGAAACATCTCAGAGAGTAAGACAATTTTATCCTTTCTTTTGATAGTAAAAAAATGTATTGTGTATACCTTGGAATAACATCAAAAATAGTTCTCTGGTATAAGAATGTAATTTTCTTGTAGAGTGGTGTGAGTGTGTGTGTCCATCTGTCCGTCCATTTGTTCATCTGTCTGTCTTTTTTTGAGACAAGGTTTCACTGTGCAGTTCACGCTGGCCTGGAACCCACTTTTAGCGTATGCTCACCTTGAACTTGCAGTGACTGTCCTGCCTCAGCTCAGTGTTGGGATCACAGGCCTGCGCCACCATGCCTGGCCTATAGATTTTTTGGTTTCTTCCATGTATTTAGAACAGCGTCTCCAGGATCTCCAGGGGTCTCACTACATAGATTGGAATCATTGCGATCCTCCTGTTTTCAGAAAGCCTGTTGAGCTCTGGGATTACAGACATGCGCCACCATGCCCAGTCTCAATTGCCATCTCAGCATGCCCCAGGGGCAGGGCTGGCACAGCAGGCAAGCCGAAGACTTCATTATTGACAACAAACAGTAGCCAGGGCAATGGCATTTATTCCTGCTGGTTCCCTGAGCCTCAGTTCCTGCTTGCTGCATAAATACTGTTTTGTCTTTAAATGTTTTGTGTAAGTATTTTCCGTAGGGCAAGAACAAGAGGGTTAGGTGATAACCTGTACATGCAGTTGCTTGTGTTAAAAGGAGAGGAGTCCTGAATTTAAGGAACACAAACCTTTTTTCTTGTTTTTAAAGTTACAAGTATGATCACATACTAATTGTAGAAACCAATGGCTTTCATTATGACAGGTCATACTCACCTTCCCCCTTCTTGTCCCCACTCCTTTCCCTAATAGTTTTCCTCCTGCTTTCATGTTGCTTTCCCCCAAGGTTCCACATCTGAGGAAAGCTTGACTTACTTTGCTTAATGTGGTAATCTTTAGTTCCATCTATTTTTCCTGCAAATGACATGACTTCATTCTTTGTGACTGAATAATACTCGACAACAGTGGTGTGAACGTGTAGCACTTGTGTTGTTTTTCTTTTAAGACAAAAGATGTTCATGTATGAATAGTTGTATCACAGTGTTCAGGTTTAATTGCAGTGTTGGCACCTTGTCACAAATAAGTGGATTTTGGGTTGCAGTTGGGCACTTGTCTCTAGAAGGTTTGCCCTCCCTGCGCTGTTGTATGGTTATCACACTTTCCTCATCTGTTCATCTGTGGATGGGCACTTGGGCTGATGCTGTAACTTGGCCATTGTGAGTAGTGCCACAGGGACACCAGTAAACAGGCATCTCTGTAGCACATTGACTAATTCCTTTTAATAGATATCTAGACGTGGTATAGATGGATCATGTGTTAATTTTATTTTCAGTTTTTCGAGGAACCTCTTTAGTGTTTTCCATAGTGGCCTTTCTAATTTATATTCCCATCAGCATTGTAGATGTAAGGCCTCTTTTCCCCTGCATCCTTGCCAGCATTTGTTATTTTTGTTCTTCCTTGATAATAGCCTTTTTTTTTTTTTTTAATTTGTGTGGGTACCAGGAATCGAATTCAGGACCTTGGCACTTGACAAGTTGGTGCTGTGCCATGGAGCTATATTCCTGGTCCATAATAGCTATCCTGACTGGGGTGAGATGGAATCTAATGTAGTTTCAGTTTGCATTTCCTGATTGCTAAAGATATTAAACATTTTTCTCTATATATGTATTTATTGACAATTTATGGTTCTTTAGAGAAGTACCTGTTCAGCTCATTTACTTACTGAATTACTTGTATTTCGGTATTAAAGTTTTTGAATAGTCCTAACCCCAAGGAGTTCCAGAGCTGTGTGCATGCGGCTTTGAGATCTTCCTTAATAGAACTTTACATACTTTTTAAACAAAGATGAATTACCTGGAAACACATAGTAGTTTTTGTATCACTTATATGCAAAATAAATTTATGATATGTTTTAAAGTTAAAAAAATAAATAAAGTTTTTGAGTTCTTAGTATATTGTAGGTGTTAGTCCTTGGTCAGATGAATAGCTAGCAGGGTTTTCTCTTAACTTTGTAGGCTGGCTCTTGATTCCTCCTTTGTTCATGTCGGTAGAGTTCGCTTTGTCAGTTCTTGCTATTTGTTTCCTGAGTTACTAGAGTTGAGGAAACCATTGCCTGTTCTTACATTTTAAAATCTTTCCCTTGTTTTCCAAGTTTCAGACCTTGCATTAAAGTCTTTGATCCATGTTGGGTTGACTTTTGTAGAGTGAGTGAGCAAGAGAGATGTAGTTTCAGTCTCGTGCAGGTGATGTCCAGTTTTCCCATCCTCGTTTGTTGAACAGGCTGTCTTCTCTTCAGTGGATGCTTATACCCCTTTGTGAAGAATCAGATGGCTGGGGACCTGGGAAGTAGCTCAGTAGAATAAGCGCTTGCCTGGCAAGTGCAAAGGCCTGAATTCAATCCCGGGTTCCGCCAAAAAACAAATAAACAAAAAGCCCCCGAAGAATCACATGGTTGGAGATAGGAGTTTATTCTTAGGTCTTCTGTTCCTGTTTTTATGCTAGTGCCTCTGGTTTTGTTACAGTGGCTCTATAGAGTGTGTGTGTGTGTGTGTGTGTGTGTGTGTATGGTTTTTGTTTTTGAGAAAATTTCACCTGGCCTCAAACTGGTGATGATCATCCTGACTTAGCCTCCCAAGTACTGGGAAAGGGGCTGGGGAGATAGCTCAGTAGAATAAGTGCTTGCCTGGCAAGTGTGGGGTCCTGAGTTCAGTCCCCAGTACTGCAAAAACAAAACAAAACAAAACAAAACAAAACAAAACAAAACAAAACAAAACATCAACCCAGTACTGGGAAAATTGGTATGGGCCACTAGGCCCAGCTTTGTAGTATATTTTGAAATCAAGTATTGTGATGCCTTCAGCAATGTTGTTTTTGCTTTTCTTCAGATTGTTCTGTGTTTCCATATGAGTGTTAGAATTATTTTTCCTAGTACTGTGAAGACTGCAAATCTTTTCCTTTTTTTTAGTATTGGAAATTGAATTCAGGACCTTATGCTTGCCAGATAGGCATTTATGTCACTGAGTTATGTCCCTGACCCCTCTAGATCTTTTTTTAATGGTCAGTGAAAACGTCCACGTTTGTCCTAAAGAGAAGCGGTCTCTTCCAGAGTTCTCCGCGCGTAAGTGTCCAAAGCAAGGTAGCCAGCACGTTTGCCAGAAAAACATGCAAAAATGTGAGAGACGCAGGAATGACTGCGTGGTGCACCCACTGCTGGCGGCCCTCAGGCTGTGCCTGATGCTTGCTTTGGGTCAGGGTTGCTGCAGGGAATTGTCTTGTATGTGGTAATACCCATTTACCTGTACAGTGTTATTGCAAGAACTGCAGCTACTGGGTATGTACATTTTTATTTTTGATAGATTTTTATCTTCAAATTGCAAAACAGAGGTTGCACAAATTTGTACTCTGCCTCTGATTATTCGTGCTTTTACATTTGACACTAGTATCACATTTATCTTCTTGATACTTTGTAAGTTTAATATTGTTCGGTGTCCTTCGTGTGTTTACTATTAAAGTTCTGCTTTTGAGGGGGTGCCCATGGAAAAGCATGCTGTTTTTTGGATACTTAATCAATACCAGACTTTGTACTTACGTAATTTGGTCTACACAAGTTGAGAACATTGTCTTTTATTGAACTTCTTTCTGTTACAGGTAAGGCAACATATTTAGTTTAGGGAGCTCTCTGCTATTATGTTTTCCAGAATCAGGAGGAAGAGTGTCCACCAAGAGATGACTTCAGTGATGCAGACCAGCTTAGAGTGGGCAACGATGGCATTTTCATGCTGGCGTTTTTTAGTAAGTCACCTTTCTACACTGCTCTACACTTCAAGTAACAGTGTATAGAGGGGCATAAACTTGAGTCATTTGTAGGAAAATGGACATGTCTTGAGACCATAAAGTAAAATAAATTAGACACACAAGCTTAAATATCACATGGTGTCCCTTTTATGAGAAACCCTGAATCATAAAATAAGTGAGATAAACTACACAGTAGGAAATAGGAGATTGATTGTTCTGAAAGGGCAAGGGTTCAAGCGATGGGGAGGGCAGGGAGGAGGTAAGGGTGACCGGGCTTTGGGTGTGTTCTGTGTGTGCACTAGCTCCACACAAGGGAGTGAATATGCACTGCACAAATGTGCAGGAAAGGGACTGGTAGAGGGTAGGGAGGGAAGGGACAGGACATGAAAAAGGAATGTGCTATCTCCTCGCAGGGAATGTGAACACTATGTACCACACATGTAGACTACTAAACTACAATAAAGAAGTGGAAAATGCAAAAAATAGCATCATAAATAAAATACTCTTAGCATGTGTTGACTTTATTTAAATTAATTGTTCAGAATAGTGAACTAGTGAATACAAATCCTAGTGTTCATTTAACACTTACTGTATAATTATGTGTTGAGCCATTATGCTGGATATGGGCAACTAAAAGGTATAGAAATACAGATTTTGTAAGAGAAATGCTGCAGTACTGATGTCCATCCCATGCTGTGGGAATATGTAGAAAGAAACTGTAAATCCCACTTTTTCAGCAGAAGGCTTCCATTTCAATGCCTGTAAACAGGAGGAAGAGAGGTTAATTCTAGCACAACAGTGTCACCAGGAATGATGTAGTTAGAAGGTCAGAAGCCCTAAGTAGTATTCTTTTTAACATCTTACTCATTTCCTTTTTTGAGGGGCAGGGGGCACACAGGATCTTGCTATGTAGTCCAGGCTGAGTTTGACCTCACTGTGTGGCCCAGACTGACTTCACACTCAGGACAGCCCTCGTGGTTCAGCCTCCCGAGTGCTGGGATCACAGACGTGCGCTGCCACGCCCCACATTCATCTTTAATAGAGAGGTCATACTTTAGATGTGGAGCTCCTTTTGCACTGAGGTTTATTTACTCTTTTTTTTCCATTGGAATGCTGCCTTTACTTCATTTCATCTCCTGAAGAAGGAGGTGGGCAGGCAGCTGTCTTTTTTCAAGTTTATTAAATTATATTCAAGTTGCCAGTCTATGTATGTACCTAGTATTTAAATCTTAAATTGGCGTTAGTTGCAGTTTAATGAAAAAGAAGTGAATGCTTTGGTTACAAGTGACTACCATTTTGTACTATCAAGTTCACAAATGTGACTTTAAAATCTTGCTTTCAGTTCAGTTGGTAATGCTTGATATTAATACTATATTCCCCATGTATTTTGCTTGCATGGTTGTGTCTTTTAAGGACTCCTATTTGGAAAATAATCTGAATCATTGTACTGTTTTTAGTAGCAATACCTGTTTCTTAGGAGCAAAGACATGTTGTTTGCTAACCATCTAATTGTTAGCCTTCAGACTGCTTATTGTTTCTGGCTTTCATTTAACGCCAGTCTTTTTTGCAGTCCTTACTTTCTAGAGATGAAAACATTTCACTGGTGTAAATGTTATAAATGCTTGATAAATTATACACATTAGACTACATTTTTGGTTAGTGGCAGTAGGTTAGTAGACATATAAGTATATTTAAGGATTTAATATATTTTACACAGTTCTTATTAAATTATGTTTTTGCAACTTATTCTTAAACTTTCTACTTGTAAATATTGAAGAATATTCTGAATGAAATTGTAACTTTTGGGCTGGGGATACAGCTCAGCCGCATCAGTGCCTGCCTGGCAAGCGCAGGGTCTTGAGTTTGATTCTGGGAAAGGAAGGAAGGAAGAAAAGTAAGAAGGAAGAAAGGAGGGAAAGAAGGAAAGAAAGAAGTTGCAATTTTTACCTTGATTTTCTGATACATTTATTTTAGGAGGCAGTAAGTTGAACTTGCTTTGATAAGTGTGTATTTGTTTGTAGTTACTGCCATCTAGTGACTATTCTTCAAATTACAACTTGCTATATTTTACATGCTTAAGTTGTAAAAAGTAGGCTTTCTTGAACATTTAAAGTTATGTTTGCACAATCAAATCACATTAAATGCTATAGTATTTATTTAAAACTTACTATGAGATTTATTTTTGCTTCTATATCATTGTCTTTCATTCTTACCTAATGTAACCTGAAAGAATTTACACTTAATAAAAGTTCCTGTTCTTGGTCAGAAATTGCAAAGGAAGAAATTATATATCCTTCAATAGTGCTTTGATTTTCATGAGTTAAAGTGTTATGACAAAGTGTTCTGTATCTCTGATCTTAATTTTAAGAAAATATTTAAAACAATAGAATCTTAGTTGTTCGTTGGTTAATTAAACTCTAGATTTAAGATTTAATACAAAGCATAATAGTCTGTGAAGACAGTTTGAATTCTAGTGCTTTAGAAGGTAGTGAACTCTTTGGAACTGTTTAGAAAACTTCCCAAGTTATTTGTGCCGTGTGCATGAGGATCTTCATGTTGGTGTTCTGTTGTAATTAGTGACTTATGTCGTCCGTGTCTTATACGTCAGATCAGAAAGACCAATTCTATAATATATAACTTTAAAAAATTTGGAAATGTTTTATAATGTAAATCTGACTTGTGAGAAATTGCCACATGCTCTCCACAGTGACTATACCATTTTGCATTCTCAAAACAGTTGGTATTGACGACTTTTTTTTAAAATTTTAGACTAATAATGCAGTTATATCTAGTGATGGTTTTAATTTGCATTTCTCGAGTCATTATGATATTGAGCATCTTTATTGCATAAATTGTCTTGATAACTTACCATGTACAAGTGCTAAGTTACAGTTCCTGAGATGTTTACATTAGACCCCAACATATTGGAAACAATTACTTTGGTGACTTATTTGTCCTTGTGAAGCTGTGTATTAATGTAGTTCTTACGTGGGATTACAGACTGTAAATGAATACAGAAAAGTAAAATCTAAGGTTATGACCATACCTTAAGATGCCCACAAAATATTTATTGTGAAGTATTATATTTTATTGTCTTGTTTTATCTTTCTTTTTAAGGCCAATGCTTTGGCTAGTTACTTAGGCTGGCTGAAGTCTTTAGGGTGGGAGGATGCAGAAGCTACAATGTGGTCTGACTTTTAGCTGGCTTAAAACCATTCTTTCACTTACTGATCATAAGCTGTAACGAATTGATTCCTGTTCACCAAACTAACAAGAAACCAGGCGTGCCCATTTGTAGAAGTACAGTAAAAAACTAATACATTTATACGGGTAAACTACAGTCTATAAAGAAAGTTTAACTGGTAGAGTTAAAAGAAAAAGAACTGCTGTTTAAGCAGTGCAGTGTTGTTAGTATCAGTGATGGTGAATGTAGGGTGCGCGTGCTGCAGGTGGCTGCTGGTTATCATTGAAAACTCTAAAGGGTTGTTTGCCTTTACTGGTTAATATTATGTCTGTATTGCTTTCCACATTATGACCTTAAAAGAACTGTTTCTCTTGCTTTCAGTGGCATTTATATTCAACTGGCTTGGATTTTGTTTATCCTTCTGTATCACCAATACTATAGCCGGAAGGTATGGTGCTATCTGTGGATTTGGCCTTTCATTGATCAAATGGATCCTTATTGTGAGGGTGAGTGTCTTAGTAGGATATATCTCTATTATCTCTAAAATAAAAAAGGTTTGAAATCTTTGTGATTCATAAATGTTCACTTTGCATGTGAGTGCCATTCAAGGCTTGTAAGTATATAGTGCATTATAATGCTGGTGTAAACATTTCATAATTATGTATGAGAGGTTGTTAGTATAGTGGAAAAAAACTTTGAAATTAGAAAAAATTAATTTGAACTTCATCTTTTTTATACTGTATTCTCACTTTAATTTTATTTACCTGTTCTGAGCATTAGTTTCTTCTAGTAGGCTGTCTCACAGGGTTTGAATAAGGTATGCAAACCAAAGAACTTCATCCAATTACTGCACAAATACATGTACCTGGTAAATCATGATACTGCAATTTTGATACAGTATACGTATGTCTAAAAGCAGATAAAAACTGAAATTTCTGTAGTTTTGTAATTTTGTGCTTAACTGATTTTGGTAATACTCAGAGTGCAGAAGTAAAAACAGAAGCCTAGGAAGTAGCTATCAGAACCCATCTTTTTTCCATTACATCATTTCTTTCTTTTTTTTTTTTTTTTTGTATTTAGGACAGGGTCTATAGGGTCTCACTACTAGATCAGACTCGTAGTGATTCTCCTGTTTTCAGCCTCCCAAGTACTGAGATTACAGCTGCGCACCACCATGCCCAATCTCAGTCACCATCTCAGTGCACCCCGGAGGCAGAGCTGGCATGGCATACTGCTAATCAGACCCTGACTCCTGTGTCAGGTGCTTTAATCCGCTGAGCTATCTGGCCAGCCCTCCATTACATCAGTGATAAACTTTCTGATTTGTTTGTTGTTCAAGAAGTGGCCATCTGCCTTCTTCTTTGCACTTAAGAGATGATGTTTAGATAAACAGTGAAATGGCCCTTCAGCAGCTTTTGTTGGCTTAAGTGCTTTCTTATAAAAATGACATAGGCATCAGCCCCATTATTGTAACCACTCCCCAACCTTGACTGTACCTTGCTTCTTCTCTTTTGGGCTTCTTTTCACAAATACTTGTTCTGTGATGCCTAGGCAGGGGAAATGAGTAAGAGTGGCTTTATTTGTTCATTGTTTTACTAAATCTTCTGTGAAGTTATCTGCACATTTTCAGTGCTTTTACATGAGTAATAAAATATATAATAAATTCTATAAGTCATTTACTTAAACATTGACTTTAACTTAAGTGAGCTCAGTCTTTCAAAAATCTTTAATACCGTTGCAGGTTAGTTGATTAGCGTTTCTTAAGTTCTTCAGACACTGCTAATAGTTGTATATTATTAGTTTAAATAAAAAGGTACCCATTATAAAAATATTAATAGATTGCATTTGTTTCTTATGGTAAAATTTATTTTGTAGCTTTTCAATATTTCAGTAATCTTATGACACCCTGCATTATTTCAGACCAGATTACAGGTTTTGGATACTCATCCACTGATTATTGGTGGGACCCATGGCCTTGTTTCTTCAAAGATGATGAAACTCTGAGCCATTATAACAATAGTTACAAGCTATTGTAATTGTCCCCTGGAAGTTTCTTTTTTTTTTCTTTTTTCTGGTGCAGGGTCTCATTACGTAGCTTGGATTTGTAGTGATCCTCCTGTTTTCACCCTCCCCAGCACTGGGATTATAAGCATCCACCACCACACCCCTACTTAGTGGTGGGCTCACGTGGCTGGTGGTGGGGTCAGCACAGCATGTGTAGCCCCAGGGATCAAACTGGAAGTTTCTGGTTTGAATTTTACTTTAAAAGATGAATGGTGAATTTCCTCCATGAACATAAGTCTGTCAGATACTGCAGGGTATACAAAGACCAAGATATAGTCCCTAACCTTGCAGAAATTATTGCTAGAAAAAGCTCAACAGAATTGGAGATTGGTATGTTCAACCTTAGTTATGATGTTAACAGAATTAGTTCCTGTTTTAAAATGGCATTGCTCATCTAAATGACAGAACAAAGAATATTATCTGAGAACCACTCTGCTCAGTCCTCCTAAAGTTGCAAATTGCTAGTTTCATTTTAGGTGCAAAAAAGGAAGTTAATCTGTTATATGCAGCCTGTGCTTTCAGGGTCTTAGAGCCTAATTTGCTCCTGGAATACCAGGTTGAAAAGGGGTTAGGTGATCTAATAATGAGATCTGATCAATGTGATAAGATGAAGAACTTAAAAATCAAAGCCTGAAGTTTCTCTGTTTCCTAAGGTATATATTAACATTATTTGATTATGGGAACTATTTGGTTTTCCTTTAAAAGTATTTGCCGAGTTAAGGCTAATATCAACTTGTTAGTATGTGTGGAGAATTCATGCGAAAAGGATTTTTTTTAAGGTCTTTTGTATAGAATAGTAACTGTCATTCATTGATTGTGTTCAGGTTTAATTTATTACAAACACCAGATTCTTTAAACTGATCTGTATCATTGATGGTGGCAGTGATTCCACCATTTATTTATGATGGAATTGGGGATAAAAAGAACCTAATAACTCTCTTAAAGCTCCGCAGTTCACACATGGATTGGAGTCCACGTTGGACTCAGTTCAGTGCCCATCCTATCTGTCGTGCCTCAGCTACACTATAGCTTAACTCTTACTGTGCTGCCCTAGTCCATAAAGTCCTCTTGGAGGGTAGTGCTGAGAAGTGTTTTCTCCTAAAATCTGTTGTTCCCATTTATTAGTTGGTAAGTATTTTATGTCATACTACTTTTTTTTCCTGAGCTGCCATGAATCTCAGATTTTGTTGAAACAGTTTAATGCAGTATTCTGGTATTACTTCTGCCTAATGCTTTTGATGATTTTATTGTTTGTTTAAAAAATACATCTAGTGTATCTCACTTCTTTAAACTCCAGTATAATTTTTTTATTTTCCTTTGAGACAAAAATAAAGACTTAAAATGATTTAGAACTGTGTTGGTAATACTTAGGTGTTTCTGATTCTTCACAAATTTAATATGGTAATAATAAAAGAATATCATGTTAGCTTAGTGTTTTGTTCTAATTTGTCTATTACTATATTTTAAAGTTATGTTTCCAAAAGCCCTGTCTAGTAAAAAATTTCATGTATGTTTTATTAAAAATTAACACATTCCTTTTGAAAGACGGGATAGAAATGATAAAATACTGGTAAATAAAAGCAAATAAAAATCTTAATGTTGAGTAGTTTATTTTCCAAAACTTGATGTCTAGAGCCAGTGATTGGCCAGTCAGCATGGTCTACTTCTAAACAAGACAACATGGCTTGGCCTTGTGATCTTAGTCTTTTAAAATATTTTTTCTCATTATTAACTTTATTGAAAATCAATAATAATTTTATAGCAAATTCTAAAAAATTATTTACAAACTTAAATGAATTTAATAATAAAAATCGTCTAAAATAAACATGAAGAAAGAGTTTACAGATCAGTCATATAATAGTTCTCTCTAGGGCCGGGAAGATTGCTCAGAGTGAGTGCATCCTTGGCAAGCACAAGGGCCTGAGTTCAATCCCTGGTTCCACAAAAGAGTTCTCTCTGTGCCAAAATCAAGAAGCTTATTCATATAATTAGAATTCTCAAAGTAGAAGGGGGTAGGCAATAAATATTTAAAGATTTAAAATTTCTGAGTTTAGTTAAAATTATAGCACCACATTTCCAAGAAAAATGAACCTTTTGCACAAAAAATATGAATAAAATTAGGGGCCGGGGAGATGGCTCAGTGGAATAAGCGTTTCCCTGGCAAGTCCAAGGGCCTGAGTTCAATTCCTGGTTCTACAAAAAAAATAAAATAAATAAAATCATACCAAGATATACAAAACTGAAATTGTCCAAAACTAATTATAAAGAAAAAAAAATCATTAAAACATATGCAAAGGAAAAAATATTAGCTATGGAAGATAAAAATTAAATAGCATCTTATTCTACATTAGGAAAAAAATAAGAGCAAGTGGGTAAGAAACTAGGCTTATTCAATGGATTGGGAAAAAAAAAAAAAAGATCTGTCCTCATTGAATTTTAAACTTAGCAATATACCTTTGAGAACTAAAACTAAAATATTTTCCAGTTATACAAATTCAAAATATTCTGGGGCCAGGGAAATGGCTCAGTAGGATAAGCGCTTGACTGGCAAACGCAAGGATCTGAGTTCAATCCCCAGTTATGCAAAAACAAAAACAAAAACAAAAAAAGCCCAAAAACGAAAAAAAAACCAAATTCAAAATATTCTAATACCTCCAGACATAGTATATAGAAAATAGCAAAAACCATAACTGAGAAATAAGAGGTGTAGCTATATGGTCCTGGATAAAGAATAAAGAGCTCTCAAAATGGTAGTTATGCAGGACTATGTAAAATATAATTCTATTAGAAGAAACCATTTAAAAGGTCATTGAAGATTCCACAAAACAGCATCAATTTTATGTCAGGTTATATACATATTTTTTCTGGAAATACACTTTTTAAAGTTTCTAATACGGGGCTGGGGAGATGGCTCAGTGGAATAAGCGCTTCCTTGGCAAGCGCAAGGGCCTGAGTTCAATCCCTGGTTCCGCCAAAAAAAAAAAAGTTTCTAATACTAGGAGAAAATATCATACCATGTCTTATAAGTAGATTGTAACTCAAACAGTATAAATCATAAAACAAAAATTAAAATTAAACTATTCAGAAAATTAAATATTAAAATTAAATATTTCAAAATAATATTAAAAAAATTAAAATTAAACTGTGAGTCCAACTAAGAAACCAGAATCTAGTGTAACATATGTAGGAATCTGTGATCAATTCAGAGTACTTACACAGTATTTGATTAGGTTAATATATACAAAAATAGCAACTAAGAAAAAGTTTTCATGATAGTGAAGATTTACTAAGAATAAACCATAACAAAAATACTGGAATGGCAAATGTATGACCAGCACTTCTAACAGTTTGGGGATAGGATATCACAAAATTCTAGTGTGTGGTGGACGTGGCCATGTGTCACTTGTGGGACTGAGCTATTACTGTCTCCCTGATATCCACCCTACAGACCTGGCTGAATCATGACCCATAGAGTGCAGGAGAAATCCATTTGTAGATATGCTGATGGAAATATTTGCTGCTGTATACAAAAGAATAATTGAAAGACTGCTGTTGTATACCTCTTTTTCTCCTGTTTAACTGTTTGCCCTATTTGGTGGGTTCTTTTCACTCTCATTCATGGAGTTAGTGGTCATTTTGATCCCTCTCTAGAATATCTTTTTGTAGTCTGTGCAGGTTGGCTTTTTCGTCATGAAATTCTTTAGCTCTCTGTCATGAACGTATTTCACTTCTCCATTAAACTTGAAAGAGAGTTTTAGTGGGTTTTTATGTTTTTTTTTTTTTTTTTTGCAATTGAGGATTGAACTCAGGCCCTTGCGCTAGCCAGGGACGTGCTTTTTCTAATGAACCATCTCCCTGGCCAGAGTTTTGCAGGGTATGTGAGTCTGGGTTGGAATTTGTTTTCTTGCAAGACTTGAAGTACTTTGCTCCATGCTCTTCTTGACTTGATGGTTTGTGAAGAGAAATCTGGTGTTATACTGATGGGTTTTCCTTTAAATGTGTTTTCTTTTCTCTAGCAGCTTTTAGTGTACTGTTCCTGTGCTGAATTTCTGGGATCTCGATTATTATATGTCTGGGTTGGTTTTAATTGGGTTGATGTTATTTAGGGTTCTATATGCTTTGGTTACCTGAATGTCAGAATGTTTCCCCATGTTTGGGAAGTTTTCTGCTGTTATTTCTGCCCATATCATTTGTATTGACTCCTTCTTTCTTATCGATGCCTATTAGTCTCTCGTTCATCTTTGCATCATCTTGCATATGTTGAATTATTTTTTCCTGCATGCTAATTGTTTTTAAGAGATCTTTTCTTACCTTTTCACTAGCTGCAATGGTGTCTACAAGGTCTGAAGATCTATTTTCACTTTCAAACGGTTTTGCCAGCTTGTGATTGAGGTTTTAATTTCTTATATATCACTTTGAATCTGCTTCATGCATTCTGTCTTTCCTATATTGTTCATTCAAAGATGCCATCATTTTTCTATTCTCTATTTTTTTAATCAGTGTCTTCTTTAGAAGCACTTAGTACTTCTTTCATTATAGTTATCATTTCTTTTTTTACTTCAGAAATTTCTAATCTGATTTCCTCTATACCTTTCTGCAGTTGTTTCTTTACTTTCCATGCTATTTCAGAGATTTCAGGTGTGCGATTTCTAATTTCTTCTATGCTGTTGCCTCCTGCATTTGTTCTGGGTGGGCTTGGGGCCTGAGAATTCATTTTTCTCCTCTTTGTCATTTTGTATAGCACTGTCTTCTGACCTTTGATGTAGAGCTTTGGTGCAGTTATTACCTTAGCACCTTAGCACCAGGTTCAGATCTACTAAGTTCAAACTCATCCAGGTGGGTGTGGCTTGGGTGTAGCTACTTGCTCCACTTCTTCCTGCTGCAGCCTTAGGAGGTGAACCTGCTATGCCACGCTGGAAAGATGTTCTCTCTTGGATCAGCTGTGTGGATCTTGCCTCCAGCCTCTCTACAGGGAGTTCTGCCGCAGGATTCAACACTTGGCCTGTCTGATGGAGGAAGTTCCACACACATGCCAGGCCTTGGGTGCTGGCTGGATTGAGGGTCTGGCGGGCCCCAAGTGGCCCCACTCACATGCTGGGCCTGTGTACTAGCTGGAATCTTAAAAAATTTTTGATGACTCATGTAATGAGCCCAGTGCTTGCTTATCTATCCTTTTAAAGTAATGAGTCTCTTTATATTTGCTTTATATGGTAGAAATTTTTGGTGAAGATTGATACTTCCTGATTAGGTACCATATATGGAAAATTTAGAAATGTTTTATTTTGTTTTTTATTCTTTGTTCTTTAGCCTCTTTAAGACTTTTTATTAAAACCTATTTCTTTCTTTTTTTCTTTATTTATTTTTATTAATTTTATTGAGAAACAAATAGCAGTGAGACAGTTTCAAAACAGGTTAGTAGGACAGTTACAAAAAAACCTTCTGTTTATCATAGTTAATCATTTTATTTAAAAATAGCACAGTACAATTGTTTTATAAGGTGTAACTTTCCAGTTTTCATGTTCTCCTTCATTTTACATTTCTATAAGGTGTAAGACTTACATCTTTAAATAGTATATTGAAATTTTAAATCTTTGGATTTTGTAAAACATAAGAGTGTAGATCATGGTCTATTTGTTAATTTAAAATAAGTTCAGAGAAAATACTTTAAGAACTTTAATCTTTAGGTGATATACTCTTAATGGAACCTTTTTGGTAATTTGTACCTCTGTTATTACCAAAACTATATACCTTTAAAATTTGTAAAGAAAGTGCTAACACATAGTTGGAAATACTTATATCCAAAATTTGAAATACTTTTAATTTCTGATTAAACACAAAACTGCATTTAACAAAATTAGTTTTAGTTAAATGAGATTTAGTTTGGAGAGCAGTGGAAAAATGATAAACAAGTTAGTTTTTAGTGCTTTTAAAAAATAATTCTGGGGTCATCATTTAGGTGCTAAGTAGATAGGGAAGGAATAGGGAAGAATTATGTGAAACAAGTGAAGAAAACTAGATTTTTCTTTTTAAGTTTTAAATGTAACTGTGATGTCTGGAGTCTAGTCAAGGAAAAGACGCCTGGGCCCGTGCCGTCAGGCCCTGCTCTCCCTCTGCTCCTTCGTGTTCCCACATCGCAGGGAGTATAAAGCTGCCCGCCACGGCCTCTAGTAGGAACTGTGGAAATGCTGCTTCCAGCTTCATTTAGCTGTTCTCAGCTCACTGCTGGGAACTGCATCAGAGTGCATCTAGTTGGAAAATAAAAAGACTCCAATGGGTTGGGGGTCTTTATGTGCCAAGTATTTTTGGCAGTGATTAACAGTAGGGGGTGTACAAAAGGTCAAAAGCTCTGCTTTATAGGGGTCACCAAAACATCCCCATCTGATAAGATTAAACTAATGTGGCTTTTGGTGTTAATATCTAAAGCAGCGGGTTGCTGTAGTGTATTTTGGATGGTCGTCGTGGCTTTGAGAGACATGAAAAAAGGACTGACGTGAACTTCATAATAGGAAAATGTTTGCCTCAGACACATAGCATTTATTCTTTTTTCTTGCAAGCAATTTGACCGGTTTTTTTATGTATAAACTATTTTATATAAGTTTGTTTGCTGTTATTTAAGATTTTTTGATATATACATATTTTAATGTAAAGTATATTTTCTTTTATCTTGTGTGCTGCTGTTTTTAAGTGTTAAAGATTTTGAGGTAAATTACTATGAAGCTGAGGATAATGTACAATTTTTAAGCTTAGGAATATAAATATGATTAATATATTTATGTTCATTCCATAGTTTTCTGATTATTTTACTGGATATTTCAATGGACAATATTGGCTTTGGTGGATCTTTCTTGTACTTGGTAAGTTTGTTCTTAACTACATTTTAGGTATTTCCTGTATGTATTTGTTTACTTACTATTTTGTCTTTTTGAGGCAGGGCTTCACGATGCAGTCAGGCTGGCCTACAGTCCCCACTGGTAGGCCGGGCTGGCCTCGAACTTGTGGCGATCCTCTTGCCTTTCAATTTAACTAATTTTAGTGTAGGGTTTGTACTTCTTAAAATTACAAGGTATAAATCCTGTAATAGCTGTAGAAATAATTGTCCTGGTGTCAAATTCTCTTATATGGACAGTTATCTATTCAATTAATTGTTTTTAGCATTACAGATTTCAAGATTTAGAAAGCAGAGGCTGGCATTATAAAAAATCATTGGTTAAATGATAATGGAGTGCTGTAACATTTTAAAAAATCTTTTTACATGATTGCAAATACTTGCCTTCATTATTTATCTTGAATATATACATGCATGATTTCTTTTCATGATCTCAGGATACACAGACTTAGCTTGCACTTAGGGTAGTTTGGGCATGCTCTCTGCTCTCTAATGTTGGATCATGGAGACATTATTGATGCTCCAGAAATGAGGTGCATGGCACTGACCATTCATCAGCCAGGTAGGTGGAAGGGCGACTGCTCGCTTTGGCAGCACATATGCTAAAATTGGAAGGGTTTCACGACTGATGGTCGCTGCTCTTCTGTCGTGTTGTTTTATAAGGCATGTTTTTAATAGTTTTGATGAATTTTATGGGATAATTAAGTTACTCTTAAAAATCACATTAAAACTTAAAAGTATTAATAATAGTATTAAAATTAATACATAAAAGTATTATTTGAAAGGTGTATTTTAATATAGACAGTTATCTCTTTCAAAGGTGTATTTTAATACACCTTTCAAATATGTTGTTTACTGATATGAAGAATGTAGTTTGTTTCTACTGAAAGTAATTGCATCAGAAAGTAAAAGCATTTCAATAGGTGGCAGTCTTCCCTTTGAGTTTTTAAGTCATGCTTTTGGATCTGAAGGAGTTTCAGGGAAAATAAATTCTTGGTGGTCACCAAACTCTTTCGCTAATAATGAATGAGTCTTTCTCTAATAATGCAATTACACTAATGGTGTGCGTTAGGAAGTCAGACTTTTGTAAAGATTAAGTCTGTTTCATGTTAATTATATTCTGATTGCCTGAATTATATTGAGCTTACCTAAAGATGAAAAAATTACAATACTATATATTTAAAAGTACAAGTTGAGTATATTTACTTGCTATGTACATTATTAAGAATTTGAGAGAATCTTAGGAAGATAACGGGGATATAGTTCTATCGATTTCCACATCAAAATCATAATCAGTGTTTCACTTAGGAATGTGAAAATTTAATCAATAATAAAAATGTTGCTGTCATATACTCAAAAGAATGTTGAGTATATTAAAGAATGCTGAGAAGCAACATCCACTGAGTGACTAGATTTTAAATATGAAATTAGGCTCAATTTTAAAAATGCGTGAGCAGAAAAAAATTTAAAAAATAACAGCTTCACAAACAGAAGGGATCTCAGAAGTAACTTTGGTTTAAATTTATCAGTAATACTTTTGTAGTTTAGAAACAATACCATTTTCTTTGATATGAGGGTAGAATATAGAAAGAGGACGTCATGAAGGGAGAGACTTGGCTATAGGAAGCAGATGGGATTGGACTCAGCTGAAATTAATGCCCCCATTTAAATCATTGCGTACATTTCTTCTGTCTTTCTAGTTTATTGCAAACATACTCCCTGTTTTTAGTGTTTTGATTACTGTCATGTGTTTAGGGAACAAATTTAGTTTTGGATTTTGTATTATAAACTCACACTTATCCTCCTAGTGAAAAAAGTTGGACATACAGATAGCTTCTGTTTTTGTTTTTGTCCTGTACCATTTTCTATTAATATGTTTACTGGAGTTACTAAGTTTTTTGCCAAAGAATTGTATGCTTAATCTTTTAACAGCATTTACTAATAATGTCAGTACTTTTTTATATATGTATTACTTTTCATCTGAAACTTTAAAGCTTTTCATAACCAATACTTTTAAATTATTAAAAGTGCCAGTGATGCAAATAGTTATTATGTTATAGAAGAAAAGACTATATGGTAGGTACCTTGGATAGCTAGTCATCTAAGTAATCACTGCAGTTACTACCTCCCAAGTGTTCTTTCCTGACTTTGTCTTTTTATTCTACATTAGTTTATTATTATGTGAAAATAAGAATTCATAATTCTTAAAATGTGCAAAAGGCATATATCTTCAAATATAGATTCACAGATCATGAGCACTTGATATTGCTAGACAGGCTTAATGTTTTTTCCCATCGATTGCTGACAATTGTATGCATATATTCTCTTAAATATTTTGTATGAGTATTTTTGTCTGATCATTAGTTATATTGTAAAGTTTCATAGATGATTAAAATGCATTAGATGATTTCACAATTTGTAGGAATCACTTAAATGCATATTTTTTTCTATTAAAATGTTTTGGTTTAGCAGGTGTATATTTTCTATGAAATTCTGGATTTTCAGAGTTGGGTTTGATTTTAGTACATTGAGACTTTCATTGAAAGATTGGATGGCAGTAAATTGATGAAAATATCATTTTGTAAAATCAGTGGAACCTGCAGATTAAATTGCTTGAGCTCAATTTATCTAGCATCTACCCTTTTCTGCCTAACAGCATAATATATCTGTATTATTTTAATACTTTCAGGCCTTCTCCTTTTCTTCAGAGGCTTTGTTAATTATCTGAAAGTCAGAAACATGTCTGAAAGTATGGCAGCTGCTCATAGAACAAGATATTTCTTCTTGTTGTAGAGGTAAATACTATTGTATTGACTATTTCCTTTATGCACATTTAATTCACAATATTAGATGCTTAATGTTTACTCAAAGTTACTATATTTAATATATTTTCATGTTGTTAGTAGATTGTTGAAATTTAGTAAGTTATAAGCCTTTTTAGATAACTAGGAAACATAAGTTTCAATTTTAAAATGTGTGAATAAACTTAAATTTTAGATCATTCTTTTTAAAAATGGACTACAGAATGTATTTGAAGGATCCACAACACAAAGTGTGAAGGCTTGAAAAGCGAAGTAAGACAAAGTTCTACACAGAAAGGACATGCATTTTGCATAAAAAATGTGAAATCCACGTAGATATATACTGAAAAAATCTGTATTGGAAAACAATTTGTCATGGTCATTTTAACAGTCTGGACCAAGGAGTAAAAGTCATGTGAAGAAAGTAGTTCTGTTACTATTTCATAGTGCATATTACTTTGTATCAGTAATGAAGGCTACATCTTAAATGAATAAGGAGAGACAGAAATGAGTGCAGGCTGTCTGACTAGTTACCAATAAGTATCTGCAGACTATGTGTATACTCTTAGCATTTACCTCCCTAGCAGTCAGCAGTATCATAATAATGCAATCTAGGGGCTGGGGAGATAGCTCAGTAGAATAAGCGCTTCCCTGGCAAGTGCAAGGACCTGAGTTCAATCCCCGGTTCCACAAAAAAAATAAAAAAGTTAATAATAATAATAATGCAACCTTGTGTCTTTATTCCCTATCCTAATTTTCAAAGCAAGTATTACATATTTCATATCTATAAATGATGTAAACTTTAAAGTATTTGAACTCTACTGAAACTTTATTTCTGATTATAAGACATTTTAGGGTTAGTATAATTTAAGTACAGTAAGCACTCAGATTTCTAAATGTTTTTAATTAGCCATGGATTGAAAAATGTGTGAAAAAGAAAAATTGCATCTGCTGAACACGTATAGGCTTCTCTATTTTTATTGTTTCCTAAACAGTACAGCATAACAACTATGTATGTAGCATTAAATTGTAAATTTGAATTGTGTTACATGTTACCTAGTGATGACGTAGAATGCAGGATGATGTTTGTAGGGTATCTGAGAATACCACTCCGCCTCGCAGGAGGTACTTGAGCACCTGAGGATGTGGTATGCAGAAGACCTTGGGGCAGTCCCTAGGGATGGAACCATGATTGTCATCTTCTTTTAGTAAATAATTTGTGTGATTTGTGATCCGGTTGCTTAAATTTTATTTATAACTTACATGGGTTATTCATAAGCATATTATGAAAGCATTCATAATATATATTCATAATATGATGTATTTATGTCTGCTGAAGAGTACAGTGGGAACAGTTTTGTGTCTGGTTCATATTAAAGTTTCATGTCAAGTATTCAGTTAAGAACGCCTTACCCCTAGAGATGTTTTCTTTTTAACCAGTAAGATATCTTTGCAAGTGGTGTTACTAAGATCTGTCAGTATTAGCAGTAAGAGAAAATGCAACATAATTTTGCTAAGCTGAATGATACTCCGTGAGTAGGGATTGTCATTTTGCATTTTGAAGATTCTAAAACATAAATATTTTCTAAATGATAGTCTCTTACAGAAGTTTTATGCTTTAAAATATGATCTGATGCATACTGCCTTGTATTTATCAAAAGAACTTACATGCTTTATATAATACTGCTATAAGGTGAATTTTATTGTGCTATGATTTAGGTAAGTGCAGCTCACTACATTTTAATATTCTTTCTGTGTCTCTAGATTGCATCTGCGCAACATTCCTTTCTTATACCAATGTGAAATTTGTCAACTGTAAATCTACAATTTTAATGAGATAGAAGACTACTAATAGAAGAAAATTACTGAAAAAAAGGTGGAGCTTCAAAATTAAATGGCAGGGTGGTTATGCTTACAAGCCATTTCTGTTCTTTATTTATGTTATTTGGTTTGCACATTTGCATATGTGCCCATTTTAAAATATTTGCATATACTTGAAGACACTAAAGTTGTAGGAGTAAAGTCCAGTAACATTTGGCTAATCAGTGTTTGGTATAATCGAAAGAACTGAGTGACGGTCTTCCAGCATGTATATGCCATTGACTTCTAACTTGACTGTAAGTATAATAAAAATGAAGTTACTGACCATATCAAATGCTTTAATTTCTGACTCTTAAATCCATCTAGTAATTCTACACATGAAATATTATTTGTTATATATAGATTTTATTAAACATGTAGTGTTGTTTGACAGGATTTGTCACATTTTTGAATATGATGCTACTTAGGAAAACATTGTAAATAACCATGCACAAATTACTTTTTACATTGTTTTCTTAGAAATTGTGTCAGGTTATCTTTTCATTAATTTTAAATTAAGTAAACTAAATACATATAGAAAATCTGAATGTTAGAATTTGTTTTAGGGTACATTTTAAGAAAATGTGGGAATACTAAATGTCCTTTAAAGAAAAAACACATTTGAAGGGACATGCTAGATTTAGGGATTTTCAAATGAGAAACTTGATGTTTAGGATTACCTATCTTAGAGATTCTTACACAAAGAGACTGTATTAGATACTGTATTTATTTCATTTAAGACAATTTAAAAAAATTAATTTTCCAAATAAGATATTCTCATTTACAATTGTCTCTTAGAAAAACCAATATCTTTCAGTATCACTATAATACTTTTTCTTTAGATGTTTGTTAAGCTTAGCAAATAAAATCTTATTCTGTTAATAGCTCCTTGCTTTATAATTATAGAGTTAATTTGTAAAAAAAATCATAATCTGAACTGAGATGTGTGAAATAACTTTTCAAGTTCTGAAAAATGCGTGTGGAATGCCGGGCTCTGGGGCGCCGAGTGTGGGGAGAGCGGGATGGTCCTCACAGCTGGAGTCTGCTCTGCGGCCGCAGCACTGCAGTTTGCATCATGCACATCATTTTCTGTTGCTTTTTCTCCCAGTTATATCTTTGCTTTTGAATGCCAGTATTAAAAATCATGGGGATAACATTATCTCTTAAACTTACGAATCATTTAATGCAGCGATATGGAACATTTAAAATTGATTGTTTATTAGACACTGACTACTACTAAAAATTACACCTAAATATTCAGGGACATTTTCATTTCTTGAAAAAATAAAATAAAATTTATTATGCTTTATAACCTCTTTTGTACTTCTTTGTATTTTCTACTTTTTTTTTCATTATCTTTGACAAATAAAACATGCATTTTGTTTGCTAATTGAGCCTATATTTTCTTTTCTTTCATTTATAGTGTTCCCTTGTGTAGAATTTTATTGATGATTAAACTTGGATTATACCCCTTGAAGTAAAGCAAGATCATGGGGTAAAGAAAGAAAAAATTAGATTTAGTTGCCTAATTGGGAAATGAATTAAAATTAGCCTGTACCAAGAACACATCCATACTCCTGCTGGATAGCTTTTGTATCTCCTACTCATTTCCTGTAGACCTGTACTTTGTTCTTTTAAATAATTTTAAATGAAATGAAGCTTTGATGCATGTTAGTTTTTAATTTTTAGGAAGCTCAGCTATCAAAAATCGGTTTACTAAATTTTTAACTTTTATAGTATTTATACTTGGTTTCTGAAGATGAGCATGCACGACTGATCCCACATCAGAACTTTGCTTTCTTCACTGTCAGTCTGCAAAGTTCATGTGTACGAGTCTTGTAAGCCACTGTGCTTAGTGCAATTCAGTGGTAGCCTTTGATCTCATCATTCACGCAGCAGCATCGAGGTGTTATTTCCAAAAACTTAGCTTTCTCTTCTTTCATTTTCTGTGAGCTTGAACAACTATTTGTTTGGGGATGCTTGGCCACCTTCGTCCTCCACCTTAAAGACTGAAAATCAGCACTCTTATTTGATCGTCTAAACATTTTTTAATGAGTGTGAGCTGGGACTTGGAAGTTAACGCAAAAATGCCTTGAATTACTTTCTGTTACATTTGGTAAAGCAGTTATGGCTAAGGTAGTCCATTTTTATGTAGTTGTACAATAAACTATTTTGAGGCAAAATGCTTTTATATATAATCAGGTTAGATTTTAGAAATTTAAAATTAATATGTAAATCCTATTGCAGTAAGTTAAAATGAAAGTCTCTGCCTAATAGAAAAATCCTGACCTCTGGCCTTGATGTCTTATATTCCATCTTAGACATGCCTTTAAATTAATAAATTTTGAACTTTAAATAATAATCAAGACAGGCATGGTGGTGCATATCTGTGACCCCAGCACTTGGGAGGCTGAGGCAGGAGGATTGTTGTGATTTGGAGGCAAGGCTGGGCTACAGTGAGTCCAAGGCCAGCCTGGAATACCCAGCATGACTGTTTCAAAAAATAACTTTTTTTTTTCTGTTAATCCTCATAACTGGAAAGATGGAGTTCACAATATTTCATTGGAGAAGAATTCAGGGCTCCTTCCTATAACTGTTTTCCACCTGGTGTTTACTGGCTCGAAAAGCACAAAAATGTTGAGAATGAACCTGATGCTGTACTTATGTAAAACTTGAAATCCTCTGTATGTGCCAAATGATCTTGGTTATTCCTGTTTCACAGCTTTAAAAAGCACCTCACTCTCTTAAAAAGTGTCTTAATTTGGAGGCTATATATACCATCCTGAGTATCATTTTCACCGTACTGAAAAGGGACTATCTTAGCTTCCTGCCCTTTGAGAGAAGGAATAGGGAGGGGATGAGAACTGGTCCCTGATGTCCTGGGCTTTCCTGGCTGCGGAGCCTGCAGAGGAGATTTCAGTTATTTGTGCTTTAAAGTAGGGGTTGTTTAGGGGCTGAGGAAATGGCTCAGTCGAATAAGCACTTGCCTGGCAAGCAAGAGGGCCTGAGTTCAACCCTTGGTTCCGGCAAAACAAAAAAGTAGTTGTTTTTGAATTATTCCAGCTTAATGATTCCAGTTGTGCACAATTTTACATTTTGAAGCTGCTGTTAAATGTTTATCATTTAATTCAAATATTTATATGAAATACTAGTATATTGCTATTTTTAAAAATCTCACTCTTGGTAAAGTTGAACTGTTAGCTGATAATGTACCATTAATTTATACGTATGCCCTTACCCACACATAAGACATGCTGGCAGTGTATTTTATTTGTTAATAAAGTTGTATAGATGTGGAAATGTGAACCTGTGGTGCATCCTTTTCAAAAGCACTTTAAGATTCAAAATCAGTTATTACCACCCTGGCTGCCCTGACGTGTTTTTTCGTGGCAGAATCTTTAAGCTCTGAGCTGAAACAACTCTGGTGTGGAATTAGTTTAGCGACATCATTGAACTTGCCACAGTTGAGACAGAATGCAGTGTTAATGTGAAAACAGTCAGCTTCCCGAAAGTAATTAGTGCTCACACTTCTTTGCAAAAGATCAGTGGTTACCATGTATCAGACCTGATCCTGTGTTTGTGTTTAGTATGAACTCAAGTATGAAAACTTCAAGTTATTAAAGAAAAGAATCATTTCATGCTTTTTAAAAATGAAAAAAATGATTATTTTGAATTCAGTGTATTTGCTTGTTCTACTTTTTTGGTGTTTTCAGCATAGATTTCACTTTTTTCTGCATTTTTGTTTTTGTTTCGAGAGGTTGAGCTGTCTGCTTCAAAAACAATCTCACTGGGCTGCTGGTACGGCTGAGTGGCACAATCGCCTGCCTGGTGAGAGCAAGGTCCTGAGTTAGGTTCTTGATACCAAAAAAAGTCTTTATTTTATTCATGGCCTTTTTTTTTTTTTTTTTTTTGGAAGGTGGGGTACTGGGAATTGAACTCAGGGCCTCATGCTTGCCAGGCAGGTGCCGTGCTGCTGAGTTACATTCCCAGCCCTAAAAACCATTTTTTAAAACTCTAACCCTTAGTTACCTAAAAGAGATGGGACATTGATAGCAAGACAAAATGACACTTTGAGTTTCCAGAATCTTAAAATAGCCACTTTATTACTCTGCCACTCCTTTTGTGTGCATTTATTTTAATTAAGCAACACAGAAGAGGCCTATTTTCTCTCAGGTTTCCCAACATCAGCAAGTAAAACAAGTTTCCCAAAGTTCACAGACTGCCCATAGAATGTGGGTGACTTTATTGGAGATGTTCAGGTGAGAGAACAGTAGAGGTACATACTTCCCTTTTCCATCAGATTGGGGTTTCCGGCCATCTGAATCTCAGCGTAGTGATTTGGGTTGGCTTTGGAATCGGCTTTCCTTCCTGTCACTGAGATGTAGCACCCAACTCCCAGCTTGGCCAAGGAGAGGTTTCACCCCTTAGCCCCCAGTTTCAGGGCTCCCGTCCCTGCCCAGGTGGCTCCAAGGTAGGAGCACCGCGATTGAAGGTCTTAGTGGAGCACAGACACTTCACTGTGGCAGCCAGGAAGCTGAGTAGAGGAACGGTGGCCAAGAGGAAGGGCCCAAGAGCCATGTACGGTGGCAGAGGTCCTGACACACAGCCAGAGCTGGGCTTTACTAATCCCAGCTGCTCTCAAGCCTGCCCAGTTGGCAGTTAAGCCTGACTCCCAAGCAGTCTAAGTGCTTTAGGCTGTACGTTTTAATTCCCATTATTCTTCCAGAGAGATACTCTAAAGATTGTAAACTGCTGCCAAGCTGTGATGACTACTTACTCTAATGAGTAGTAATGGAGTGTCATGTCACTTCCAAAATGCAGAATTTTACAGTGAGGTACATACTACAGGATAATGTCAGAACAGTTCGTTGAGAGCTATGAAAATAGAAATGTTTAGATGTGTTCAATCAAAATCTAGGTGGTGCCACGTGCCTATAATCTCAGTACTTGAATAGGCTGAGTCAGGACAATTGATTTTTCAAGCCAGGCCTAGGCAACTTGGTGACTTAGCAAAAGCTTTTTTCAAAAACAGTTTTATAAAGGATTGGGGATACAGGTCAGTGTGAAGACCGTGGGTTTGAGGCTTAATTACTAGTATCACAAAAAGAAATACAAAATTTTAAATTTATATTTTGTACCTATTTTAAAACATTTTCTTCGATTTAAAAAAAAATTCCTTGATGGACACACAAGTGTTTGCACTTTTAAATGTCTTCTGAGCCATATATTTCTCTAGTCCTATAAGAACAAAATGGGGGTGGGGACTGCCCCTTAGCTCAGTTCTTATGTGGCTGC